AATATAGTTATATTCTAATCTTTTCATGTAGGGCCCGAAGCAGTTTTTAAAGTAGTGGTCAACTGTGAAGTTTAGAGTCACCTTTGTTGCATAAAGCATGGGCACAATTTGATTGTAGAGCCTCGTTAAATTGCTGAGGCTGGCTTTGAACTTACAATCCTCCTGTCTTAGCCTCCCCAACTACTAGGATTACAGGTGTGCACCACCACCAGTGCTAACGTCATATTTTTATGGCACTTCTCACAACTCAGAAAACATCACTGGTCCTTTTTTTTTGTTTTGTTTTGTTTTTGTTTTTGGTACCGAGGATTGAACTCAGGGGCACTTGATCACTGAGCCACAACCCCAGCCCTATTTTGTATTTTATTTAGAGACAGGGTCTGTCTGAGTTGCTTAGCATCTTGTTGCTGAGGCTGGCTTTGAATTTGCAATCCTCCTGCCTCAGCCTCCCCAGCTGCTGGGATTACAGGCATGCGCCACTGTGCCCAGCTCGTCATTGGTAAATTTACCATGATCTTCAGTTTCAGGATCCCATCTAGGTTGCCACATTGCAATCTGTCATCATGTCTCACTTCCATCCTGTTTTGTGATAGTTTCTCAAAACTTCCTGTTTATCATGATCTTGACAATTTTGAGGAGTATTCTGTAGAATCTCTCCCAATGTAGGTTTATGTGGTGATTTACTCTGGTTAGACTTAGGTTACAGGCATGGGGGAAAGACTATCACAGAGGGGGAGTGGTTTTCTTCTCATCACATCATATCAGGGGTTCATACTATCAATATGATTTACTGATAATAATGTTAACAATTACATGCCAATGTAGTACTTGACAGGTTTCTCCACTTATTTTTTCCCCTTACCATACTCTACTCTTCAGAAACAAGTTATGTATATCCATATTCAAGGAGGAAGGTGTGGAGGATGTATCTATGTGAACTATTTTGAATTCTTCCAAGAAGTGCTGTCTTTTCTCTCCATTTATTCAGTTATTTACGTCACTGTGAACTCATGGATATCTATATTATGGAGTTTTCCAAAACTAGTTTGCTGCTCAAGTTTTCCCAGTTTTGGCCTTTTTTGAGCTCTTTCAGGTTGGCTCCAATATCCCCTTGACATATGCCTCTTATTCTTTTGTTTACTGAGCATTTCTTTACTTTCTGGCACTACAAGAAGCTCTAGACTCATCTTGTATTTTCCCTGTCCAACTTCAGGATCAGCAGTTTCTCCTAGGAGCCCTGGTTTCCTTTATTGGAGAATAGCTTGAGTGCTTGATATGCTCACTGCTATTGTGGTCACTGCTTCTAGGCTCTATAAGGCAGGCAGAGCGAGAAAATGTTATGTCTCCCAATCCATGTATGTATACATACTTAAAATTATTTCTACACTATCCTCAGTTATCTATTAGTTCTTACTGATGTCTCCAACAAATTCAGTACCATATGGTTCATTTTAACCTTTTATACTTAATTATCTGAAACTTCTGTCTTCAAGAATGAGAAACCTGGCTCTCCCATCTACAGGTCTAATTTTAAGGACTTTCTACCCTTTTCCATTCTATGTTATAAATTTATTATCTGTAAATTGTACCTCTCATCAAAAGGACTATATGATCAGGAGAAATGAAAAAATAATAAAACTCCCTCAAGTCTTTCAAATTCTTATCAAGCACTGAAGAAGTGACCATTGAAATGTTACCATTGAAACTAGCAGAATTTTTGTGATTATGGACTCTGAAGAAATTGTCATTGAATGAGTATGTTTCTCTCTACAATATCCAGGTGCAATAGTTACTTGGAGTAACTATACAATCTGTCACCTTTCCCAAGAAGTTTGTACTTCTCAAAAGATTGGATTTTTTTTATATGTGAAATTAGGCCACTTATTGAGATCTTTAGTTTTACTATATATCTCTTCACTTGAATTAGAATTAAAATTTTCAATGGCTTTATTACTAAATGTATACAATTTAATTAAATGTTACATAATAGTGATAAATGGGGGATTAGTAAGTATTTCCAATTATTCCTCTTTTCAATGATGTGCATTTATGAAATGTTTTTCAGTGTTCTTTGGTAAATAAAAGCAAACAGAAAATAGATGAAATCAGATTATCTAGTATTCCACTTATATTTTATAATTTTCACCTATGGACACATACTCATTCATTTATTTCAAAGGAATTTCTTGAATAGTAGGCATTAGGTAGGAGATTAAATTCCAGGGTCAAAGCTACATTAACAGCCCAGCCATTATGAAATGAAAATATTGTTTTTCTATCAATTATAATAATAGTTTTCTTGACATTTCTTCTGCTTTAATCTTAGTAACAATTTACCAAAGATGATCAATTCTCTAAGTTGTATAGGAATGATAAGAATGAGGGCTCTAGAATCAAACTGCCTAAGCACAAATTACACCTCCATCCCTTAATAATTTATCAACAAGACTTTAGACAAGTTTACTGAACCTCTTAAAACCTTTCCAATGTTTCCCCCACCCTGTTGGATAGACAAGTATTCAGTGATAAAAGGAAAAAAGATGCAACAAGTACAAAATTCCCTTTCCCTGAAAAACTGACACATATAAAAAGAATTTTAAAATAATTATCAGATTTAATGCACTCTAATCATAATCTTATTTTTTTAAAAAAAGGATATGGAAGTACTTTCATCATAAATAATATCCCATTATATGCATTAATTGCATGGTACATGTTTAGAACTCTTTAGGATTTCTCTTATGATAGCTTTCTAAATATGAACATATTTACAACCTGAAGCTTAATGACATGTTCTTTTAGAAATGGAGCTTATCTAATTGACAAACAGAATAAAAAAGGAAATTGGCAATATGGTTATCTGTTTGCCTTATCTCTGACAATATCACTGCAGTGCTACTTAAAAGGTACTGTGAATAATTAAGTATCAAAAATATATTTAGTACCATTCTAAGTATGTGTTTGAAAATCAGTATACCAATTTATGTTCAAAGATTCACATGAATTAAAATTTTGTTTAAAACTACTTTGTGGGTTACTGCACAAATTTAATAACAAATTTATTCCAAATTATTTTATGGCTCTCATTACAAAAATATTTTAATGAAAATTAGAACTGAAAAACTACTCATCTTTACAGGACAGTGAGCTTATCCTCTAAAAGCTTAACAAACACACTTATTTTTCAGTCTTCCTACATAGAAGCGAATCCCTGAAGGTTTTAGAGGGAGGCTGATGGGGGTAGACAGATGCAAATGGCAGGAACATAAGGTTAGGGAATATTTCTATAAAATGGGCCACTGTGCTAATCCCCAAATGCTTTATTTTCCAAGAAGCAATTTTCCTTCAGCGCTGTCTGGATTAAGTGGAAAAGGTATGTCACATTTCTTGGCAAACTACCTGCTACCTGCAAGAGAAATGCAGGCCCCAAATAATGGTAAGAGAATCCCAGTTACCCTGAAGGGGGAGACTTTTGTGATCCCTTTTCACAGACCCTTGTCTGGTCCCCTTTCACAGACCAGATCCTGAAACTCAGAGAGATAAAGATAATTCCTCCTAACTGTAAAATCTGTCAGAATTATAATCAATTAGAACTGGTCAGCTTGTGCCAAAGTAACCGAGTCAGCAGGGCACTGGAGACTTAAAAGGCTGATTTCATCTGGCTGTCAGTCAAAAGTCCATAGATGGACCTGGGTGGGACTCTGAAAACTCCTCTGGGTTCCCCATAAACTGGAGTACAGGAGAAGAACACTGTCCCTCTCTTCTCTGAGAGGACCCACTCTCTCTTTTTAGAGTGTTCCTTTTCCTATCCCTTCAATAAATTTAAGCCCGTGACCTTGAGCCACATGTCTTGAAATCTTTCTGACTTAATGGCAAGAGAGTCAAGAGAGAGACATGGATGTCAGTGGCTACAATTTGAAGTCCCTCTGTTTCTGAAGTTTTACAAAGAGGAATGACTCCAGCTAAATAGTATAAAGAGCTCCAAGACAGCTATTTCAACCCCCAGGTTTATAGCTTTAGCCTTGCCCACCAAGAAGAGACCCTCTATGTCTTGGCCGTCCAATGGCCCAGGTCCCCTTAGACCTGCCCAGATCATCAGGGTGAGGGCCATCAGGTTTCCCCCTCAGTGCTACCCTGTCTCAGGAAACTCCTTATATTTATTGGCTTGGTCGCTGGTTTTAACAGGCAAGCAGTCGGTAGCGGTTTCAGCTGTCCACCAGGGGACACGTTACAACGGGTGGCGGTGGCTTGCTTCACAGGAAGTCCCACTGTGGGCATGGTCTCACGTTAAGCTCAACGGGCCTCGCCTGATAATTCATTTGATTTTGGAAAGGGGCAGTTCCTGTGGTAAAAGCTATCCCTCGGGTTCACTTTAGGCTGCCCTCCAACGGCCCTACTCTGGCTTTCCTTCCTGAATGTCCCGGGAGCGCCGGGACGAGGCTGAGCCAACCCCGGGCAGAAGAACTCTTTCCTGCCGAGCTGGGGCGGGGGCGGGCGCGGCGCCAGCACCGCACAGAACGGCTCTCAGAGGCGGTGTAGGCGGATGCTACTTATAGTTCCCTCTTTCCTGGTTACGTGCGTGCACGCAGCCACCGAAACCTTCACCCACGACTGCCGCTTTTCCAGAGGGATTAAAGAGTTTGGCACGGTGGCGGACTACGTGTCAGCTCCTGCGAGTCTCATGGCGGCCGCTGAACCCCAACCCGGGTTGAAATCTTTCCCACCCACTTCCTTCACGGCGCATGCGTATTGGGACTCTTTTTGGGAGGACAAAGGCTCCGCCCCCAAGTAGGCGGGTCCAGAACCGCCTGGGCCGGCCAATCGGCGAACAGACTCGCATTTCCTGCCCCTTCTCCCCCTTCAGCTTGTTTTGTCGGGTTCCGGGTCGCACGTGTTAATGTTTGTGTACGTGCAGCGGCAGCAGCAGGCCTGGTAAAGTTCCCGCAGCTAAGGGTTAGGCTGCTGGGGCGCGGGAGCAAAGGACCCGCCCGCTAGCCCCGGCAGTCTTTAAATTCTCGCGCACTTGGGCTGCCCTGTGCACTCACCTGCTAGTCTGCAGCGAGTGTCCCACTTCTCTACGCTTCCGAGACTCTGGTCCACTGCTTTAGACGGGAGATGTTGTTGCTTGATTGCGATCTGGAGGTGAGACTTGGACTCTTTTGTCCCTGCAGACTAAAGTTACTAGACGTCTCTCTTCTCTGGAGCGCTAGCGAGTTTGACAGGAGCGGACTGCTGAGTGCTGCCAAATCAAGCCTTGCTAGAGTTGGAAGGGTTTTTGCAGTGGGAAAGATTTCCAACCCCTGAGAGGTCTCAGGACTGAACAAGGAGACGGGTATTGAATCTGTTCTCTTCCCACAGGTGGATAGCCTGAAGTATTTGCTGGAGGCGGGGGCTTCTGTCAATGCACCCCCGGATCCTTGGGAGCAGTCGCCTGTCCACTTGGCCGCAGGTGGCGGCCTTGTTTACTTTCTTCTCTGGCAGCTGCAAACAGGTGCTGATCTCAACCAACAGGTAACTAGGTAACTGTTGCTGTGTACAGCCCTCCCCTCCACCGCAAATCCACAAACATTTCCTAGCTGCTAGAACATTCAGTTGTTTCAGTTGTTACAGACAGATCTGAAGCATGACTGTAGCAGAAATATGCGAGATACATATATAAAACTTTCTAGTATCTATGTTAAAGTAGAATGAAACGAGGTTAATTTTAGTCATTTAACATGATTTATCTGAGGTGTAATTTCACTGTGCAATCAATATGAAACAATTATTAACTTTTACATTTTCTTTTTCATATATTTCACTATCTGGTATGTATTTTACTCTTACAGCAAATCTCAATTCAATATAGCTACATTTCATAGCCATTAGTATCTATTAGCTATAACATTGGACAACATAGGTTTGTGGTTTATTTAAACAGAATTGCTACATTTCAAAAGCCTCAATATAGCAACTGAAATAATACTCGGGAGGCAAGCTCACAACCTTTACAGTTTTCTACAGACCTTAAATTTTTTGACTTCTGTAGAACTTATTTTGTTTGTATTCACTTAAATTTTAGTGTGTGGATGTGGTTATATACATTTTTTTATTAATGAAAACTTTGTATTAAATAGCATGCTAAGGGAAAAGTTTTTAAATTTAAAAATTCAGTCCATGTAATGAAGTTCTAACTGGCTTCTTCAAATAGCTGATATTAGACTTCACTTAACAGCTTTTATAGTTTTGGGGACTAAAATGTGCCCTCTTATCCTAAAGGATGTTTTGGGAGAAGCTCCACTCCACAAGGCAGCGAAAGTTGGAAGCCTGGAATGCCTTAGCCTGCTTGTAGCCAGTGATGCCCAAATTGAGTAAGTATAAAATCAGTGGCTTCAAATTTTGTTTTCTTCAATTAAAGTAATCAGACTCCTCAAGCTTAAGAACATGATTTTGAAAATAATGCTTACTTAATTGGTAATTTAGTGTTATTTAAATGTTTATCTAAGCTATTAGTGATATCTAATACTATCAATTGGAGTAAGTGAAAAAAAAATAGATCCTAAGCAATGACAGGTGCAATTCTGTTCTTTATAGCAGTATTCCACTTTTTCTCATTGACTACATTTGGGTACTCATACACTGTATTAAACACCAAATACTCTTGCATTCATTCAACAGTGAAATATAAATACAATGGAGTGCCCATTCTGGGCTGAATTTTCGAGCCACTAAGGATACATAACAGTGAGCAAAACCAAAATTTCCCTCAGCGTCCTTTACAAGTTTATGTGTGTGCGGGTGCCTGCTAGGGATCGAACACAGGACCTCCACTGAGCTACACACCCCCAGTTTAATATTGCTTTGATTTTTGCCACCGACATTGGTATAAGTCCCAAATTCCTTTATTAAAGAGGTATAAATAAAAAGACCAAACAATTATCAATTTTTATTTAATTCAATTTTTGTCTAATTTCAGTTTATGTAATAAGAATGGGCAAACAGCTGAAGATCTTGCTTTGTCATGTGGATTTCCGGAATGTGCTAAGTTTCTTACAACAATTAAATGTATGCAGACAATAAAATCAAATGAACAATCTGATGGGGATCACTGTGTTCCAGTGTTCAGACAGAAACGAAGTTTTGGAAGTACAGAAAATACAAATGGGAAAAGGAGGTGCTGGTAAGTCACTTATAGCTGATTCTTCCTTTCTTACTCAAGATTCTCTTTTCTAGCATAGAATTTATTGTTTCACTTAAATATTGATATTCTTATTTCTAGGATTATCTCTTCATTAATATTTTAATACTGATTATAGTTTACTACTACTACTACTACTAGATTCTAGAGACTAACATTTATTCTGCATAGTGGAAATTTGGGGAGAAAACATTTTTTAAAAAATGTTTTTAATGCTAACATATTTTTTGAAAACAGATGTCATGTTGGTTATGAAGCCGCATGAAGAAGGGATTCATCCATGCAGATGTACAAGTGATGGCTTTTGGCATACTGTATGTGTCTAAACTCCTGAGAAGGAGGAAACTTTCTTCCAAGTGAAGAGAATATTTAAGAATACATGTATTTACATGCCTGTAATATTTTGGTTGTGCATGTTGTCTTTTTATGTTATTAAAGGAATGTCTAAAGAATAAACTGTGCAATACTCATTATGTTGCAAAAGGTTATAGTTCAATATCAAACTACACTCAGGATTTACTTTGAAATTAAAATTTTTTATTAACAAGTTTATAATACCATTTTACTATAGTCTTTGAGTCCAAGATAATTTAAATAGTATTTGGTCGCTGAGGAAGACATAAGTTATAGTAAGCTTCCTTGTTCCAAAAGTCTGGGCCCTTCCATCCACACCAGCCCTGGATTTGGGAAAAGGGAAAGGAAAACATTTTACTAAGTTTTAAGACCACTCACTAGAAATTGCAGCACAAAGCTCTGGAATAGGACTCCAATACCTATATAATTCAAGGGTTTTCTAACTGTAGAAAAGTAACTTATTTGGGTCCTTTCAACACAGATTTTAAACTTTTTTTTTTTTAATATTTATTTTTTGGTTAGAGACAATACCTTTATTTTGTTTATTTATTTTTATGTGGTGTTGAGGATGGAACGCAGGGCCTCGCACATGCTAGGCGAGCTCTACTGCTGAGCCACAACCCCAACCCAGATTTTAAACTTTTAATTCTAGATTATTTAGTCACAGAAATTATCAAAAAAGAAAAATTTCCTAATAGTAATTGTTAGTCCAGATACCACACACTTCATGGGTCCTAAGATGCATAGTTTTATATCTCTGGCAGTCAATAACAAGTATAGCTTATTTGGTTGTAGCCTAGATAGGATGAAACATGGTAGTGAGAAACTGATCTTGCCCCATGAGCTGCACTCTGTGTTCTTTCTTTTTCCTCAGGCTATAATCATTTCTACTTGCCATTCTTCATGTCAGTATTAATCCTTTTCTCATGCAGACAAAATTACTTTCAAACAAAATCATAGGATTATATGAAAGTTTATAAAATTTCTTCTAGGACCACTGATTTATTAAAGAAGAAAAAGCTGATGACCGGTTTATGTTGTTTCAGAATGAAATGCTTTGAGAAATAATTGGGAAGAGGCTAGATGAGGACTCTTCAGATACCATGGAAAGAAAAATAGTCTTATTCTTTTAACTAAGTCAGGATATTCTGGCTAAAATTTAGAGTGGCTATAAAAGATAGTGTCTTAGCTCCATTTTTTTTTTTTTGTGTGTGTGTGTGTGGGTAGAGAGAGGGGAGGTCTTAACTGGAAAAGATCTTTTTATTTATTTATTTATTTTTTAGGAAGGGGGTCAGGGATTGAACCACGGGCACATAACCACTGAGCATATCCCCAGCCCTTTTTTGTATTTTATTTAGACACAGGGTCTTGCTGAGGTTCTTAGGCCTCGCTAAGTTGCTGAGGTTGGCTCTGAACTCATGATCCTTCTGCCTCAGCCTCCTGAGCTGCTGGGATTACAGGTGTACACCACCATGCTAGGCTGTGTTTTTTGTTTTGATTGCAAAAACATACATTGTAAAAATTCAAACATGATCAAAGTGAAAAAAAATCCTCTCCCTAGGCAATCACCATTAAGTTTGGATTACCATGTATTAGACGTTTCTAAACATTAATAATCTATTTTATTGGTGTGTGTTTTTCACCAAACTTTAATTCAATGCCCTAAAATCTATTTTCTTAACAGACATATATAAAAAGGCTTATACCATTTTTGTTTTAACCTTTTCTGATACTTTCAGACATGTAGGTTTTCTCCTGGCAACCAGATCCAATTTTTTTTTTAATGAGAAATGGGTGGAGAATGTGCCAAAAGGTAAGTATATGGAGGACGATGCTTCTTGGAGATGACTGGCCCGGGAATGTAAACAGGAAAACTCCACAAGAGGGTAAAGAGGAACAGAAGAGGCAGAAATGCCTCTTAGACTGTTGCATCAAGTGACAGTCAAAATTCTACTGATGGCTGCACTTGGCTTTGGCTTCATAGTTTCTTGTAAGCACTGTGCGTCAAGGGGGTTCCTGCTATTGCAGAGTTCTACAGAAATATAACTCCTAAAATAATGTTAACATATTTTTTGAAAACATATTTTAAAATGTCTTATTTTATGCAACATTTAAATATTACTAATTAATTTCACACATTTTCCACTTTATCAAAATAGCCCAAAAGGAGGAGACTGCAATTTATAGAAAAAGCAATCGGGGACAACCTGACTTCCTCTAATTACTTCAGAAAATCTTGCATAGATAATTCCATCTAGTGCAAAGCACCTCAAGCCTGTGGTAAAGAAGTAATATCTATGTCACTCCCCTGATGAAAATAAGGCTTTTCCTGAGGTTCTTGCCTGGCTTTAGCTCTTGCCTGTCTCTCCAGCCACACTTTGCAGCTTGCTCTGAGCACATCTAACTCCTGTAAGTTCTTGGAGCAGCCCGTGCCTTTCTTTCAGGATTGCTGACTTTTTATCCTTAGGGCTTTAGAAAGGTGTAATTACATTTTTTTTTTTATTTCTGAAAATTCCTCACCAATGAATTTCAATGTTTAAACCATCTCATTCTTTGCAAAAAGTGACCTAATTAAACTCCAACTACAAAGTTCAGAGAAACCTTTCTTTGATACTAATGATACTGACCTAAGGAAAACATGACAAAAATGAAGAGTAATGAATGAGTAATAAAATAGTAGGATACATTCATTAGTTGATGATTTAAAAGGTTGTATGCGTTCTTTGTAATTTTAATAATTGTTATTTAAAATTTGGCTTAATTATGGCTTAAAATACTTGTCTCCTGAAGATTTAGTACTCAATTTTCATAAGTGAGAATTCCCTATAAATCAATTTAAATTAATTCTTCTTTTAACTGATATTGTAAAACATCAACAAATATTCTTGAGTTGGTCTCAACTTCAAAATCTCTTTAGAATAAGATCAGGTTATATGTAAATAAATCAAAAGCAGTCAGTCCTCCATAATCTCCAGCATTTCGCTTGGCTATTTCTAGTTAATTTTAAAATTATAAAAGTTTATATGTTCTACCCTTATATTTTAAGTCATCAGTAAACCTGGATGTATTTATGTGTATAAAGCTATAAAATCTCTAAATATATTTATGAACTTTGTGTTCCATTATTAAATATAAAAACTGAGAAAGGTTTTACAAATTTAACCTAAATTTTATCTTTTCCAACTGACTTTGTCCTTCTAGTCTCCCTGTATAGAGAGACAGTTACTCATGATAGCCTTAGAATGCCTCCTCACTGCCCTCAGCTTGTCATCTTTCTGTTGATATCTAGTTTGCTATCCTTCATTTCTGAGTTCTTGGCTTTGTTGCTAAATTTGTGTTAAATGGATACTTGCCTTTTCCAGAATAACTTGCAGATCTTCAGCGCCTGTATAATGTGGATCTAGAATCAGAAATTTTATCTGCCCTGTCGTCTCATTCCATGCAACTCCTAGTATTGTGTGGGCTAAGACTCCTCCTCCTAGAGAAGACATGACATACCAAAGGCATAAACCATCTCAACTGCCATTATATTTTAAAATAAAGAGACAGATTATTTTTGCCTACTTATTGACCTAAATAGCATTAAAATTCATTACCCTAATTGTAAAAGACCATGATGTCAAATATACTCTGAAAAGGTAAAATTTTACCCTTGACACATGAAAGATGCAACCTGTATTCATAATCACATAAAGCTTGTATTCTGCTGCCATATCCTTTAAATTATCTAAATTGGATAAGCGCCAGAGGCTCCAAACTCCTCCCAACAGAATAATCACTGCCGTGGAGCCTCTGCTGTATTTGCTATGATATCTCCAATGATATTGCCTACCTACTCTTTCTGCCTCTTCAGAGACTCATGAATCTTTTGATCAACCAACCCAATATTCTTATTCTACAAATAAAGCCCAGAGAGGTTAAGTCATTTGCATAGTGTCACACAGATAGCCAAGTGACTGAGCCATGACTTTTGATGTCTAGTCAAGTGACCATCTCCTCTTTTTTTTGGCTATTGGGGCTTGAATGCAGGGGTACCTTACCACTAAGCTACATTCCCAGTCCTTTTTATTTATTTATTTAGAGATAGGATCTTGCAAGTTGCTCAAGGCCTCACTGAGTTGCTAAGGCTGGCCTTGAACTTATGATCCTCCTGCTTCAGTCTCCCAAGCTGCTCGGATTATAGGTGTGTGCCACTGCAGCTTTATCCTTTTTAATACTTTTCTTAGTTTTCCAAATGTTTAAATATAGTTATCGGTTTCTTTTCTTAGCTTTTCTTTTTGTTATTATAATCTTTTTTACAACCTGTCAAGAACCTTGTAAATTTTTAAAATATCCAGAGAGCCAATATTATGGTATAGAATTTAATTTTAAAATGTTTAAAATGACTTATTTTATGCAACATTTAAGTATTACTAAGTCATTTCACACATTTTCCACTCTATCAAAATAGCCCAAGATGTTCAAGATACCTTACCAATCATTACTGGAGTGCCTTCACTCTGGAAATGATTAGCCAGTTCCCGTCCTCGTGAAGCCATTTCTGAGCCTTGGCTAGAAAGAAACCATTTTCCATTAGATGAACTACTTTGAACACTAAGGTCAAATAATGAGTTTGGTGAGCCAATGTTTTCTACCTTTTGTTTTCCTTTTGGTTTGTTATTGAAACAAAAAAGTAAAAATCAAGTGGTAGAGAACAAACAGAAAGCATCCCTCCCCACCGCCAAAGGTGACTAGAAAGCAATTTAAAGCAACAGAAACTCTAAATATTTAAGGCTACTAACTATGCTAGGAAAGAAGAAAGGCCTGATTTTCTTCTTCTGGAACTGCATAAAGAAGGTTCTAGATTTTTAATATGAGATTCAAACTGTTCATCTTGATGTCCAGGGCACTCTTATGCAGAAATTTAATTATTAGAAAAAAGGAGTTTTTTATTTATATATTTTTGGTGGTGCAGGGAATCAAACCCAGGGCCAAGCATGCTAGCCAAGTATTCTACCTCTGAGCTACATCCCCAGCTATGGCATTTGTGAGTCTGTATTTTCTCTTCCTTAATACCTACCTATAGACGTGACAGAGGAGATTCTAGGACTGAAATGTATGTC